TTTTAGGAAAAATGTGTCATTTTTCTTATAATTAACTAACTTACCTAACTTCCTTAATCTAATCAAATTAGTTAAATGGGTCTTATATTAAAGACCGGAGGAGTACTTAATTAATTTAAATAGATTAATAAATTTAAATAAATTAGTTAATTATATTAAATGTGATATAGTCTTCCTTAATTTATATGTTAAAAGTAAGTTAGTTTGAGATGGAATAATGATAAATATAAAATACAAAATAGATTAAGATGTTATATTTAGAATTAAATCCAAGCTTCCAATACTGATTCACTCCTATATTAAGGATCAGGATAGTACATATATTAATATGTGTATGTATGTTATACTACCTCTGGTCCTAATTATAAGAGTTAGTTGACTAATTTGAGGAAATTAAGGAAAGAAGTTATATTAGTTATTTGTAATAAATAGGTATTGTTTTTCTTAAAATATCCTTACTAATCAAATATATTGTTAGAACTATCATTGTTAGAAAAATTATCTTAAAAAAATACATAAATATTAGAGACAAAATGGATTAGGATCTTATATTTAAAACCAAAATAAAAATCAAATAAGGTCTTATATTAAAGACCAAAGGTAGTAATTAGGAGAGGGAGGCAAACAAGACAATTTTTTAATGAAAAATTTTAATCAATGAATTAATTAATTGGTGATTGGAATCTGATACACCCACTAATGGAAAGAGAAAAAGACAAGTTGACAGTCATATGGGAGCTACTATGCCGTATTAACGGCCTTAAATAATTGGAATAATCTGCTATTCTTTTTTATTATTACTTTATATGGTATCAACCAAAAAAAGTCGCCCACTAATCAACAACTCACAAAATGAATAAATTTTTTTTTTAAAAAAAGGCGATATTGCTAGTTGCCATCGATGCTGCCTCGTCGTGTCCACTTATTATTTTCTTAAAATAATCAAATGGGACGGTGTTTTCCTTAATTAATCAATATGCCTAGCTGTCTAGGTCATTGAAGTTTGAATTTTAAATTTTATAATCAGTTGCCAGCAACACAACATTTTTTACCCTAGGGTAATAGACCTGGTGCTTCTTTTTTTTTTGTGGTGATAAGACCTGGTGCATTTTTAATGCACTTTTTTATGCATTGATTATTTATTATTAATTACTCCTCCGATCCTAATTATAAGACCCAATTGACTTATTTGAGGAGATTAAGGAAGTAAGTTAAGTTGGTTATTTATAATAAATAAGTGTTGGCATTCCTAAAATATTCTTGCTAATTAAGTATATTGGCTAAAACTATCATTATTAGAAGGATTATCTTGAAAAAAATGCATAAATATAAGAGATAAAATAGATTGGGTCTTATAATTAGGACCAAATAAAAAGTCAAATTAGGTCTTATAATAAGGACCGGAGAGTAACATAAATAGTGTGGGCCAAAATATTCAAACAAAAATAACATCTTTTATCACTTTCTTAATCCTTTTTTATTAATAAAAACTAGGCATAAAGAAATACAAAGAAAATGTACACAGAAAGACAGAATCCATTCCAGATTTTTTTTTTCTTTTTGCCAAAACAGTCTTCTTGAAGATCCGATTATAATTTATAGAAAAAAAATCAAGTTGAGATAAAATTATGGTTTTCTGTTTGTGACAGTAAAACAACATAATATTAGGGCTGAAATGAAGCTGGTTGAATTTTAAATAGATTTAAAAAATTAGTTAAATTAGTTATTAATCATAAATAGGTGTTGTCTTCTTTAAAGTACTCTTACTAATCATGTGTATTAATTAAAACTACTATTATTTGATAAAACATTCAACATCTGCACCTATAACAAAGACTACCTTAAAAAAATTAGATAAATATAAGAGACAAATATTTTTTTTTGACCAGCGAGAGACAAAGTAGATGGAATCTTATATTTAAGATCAAATTAAATATTAAACCAGTTATTATATTAAGGATTGGAGGTATTATCACTTTATTTCAATATTAAATATGAAATGGCAAATTATCTAAAAAACAATGATTAGTGATTAAAAATGAAATAGCATGAATCTTCTAAAGGACATATGAATGGTGTAGAAGGGCAATGCAAAGCCAAAAAAATATGGTCCACAATTAGGTATTTAGGTGTGAGAATGCTAAGGTTGAAAGAATGACAAGTTATGAACTTATGATAGAATATCCACGGAATGACGTAGACGCCCTCTTATTTATGGAAAGAGGAAAAGGTTATGTCTGCTAATATGCTAAAAATAGAGGTGAAGGAACAACACGCACATATATATTATTAAAAAAATTATATTGAAACATTCTTAATACTTTTACTACTCATGATTCATGCGGACATGACTAAAGTTATAGATTTTTTTTGTCATTTTTTAAATTTAGCCTTATTTATAAATTATGGGTGTTTTATAATATTTTTATTTGCTAATTAAATGTTTTAACATTTATATCAATTTTTAAATTATTTATATGGATAGAGATAAAATGACAGTTACTATTATATTAATGCATTATATATTTATTTTTTAAGAATTCTTTTGTGCGAAAAATCATAAGAATATATTAGTTATGACAGTTTAAAAATTCTCATATGATAATGAAATTCTTAAATATTATGATATCAAAATTTATAGATATTACCAAAAACAAAGAAAGAGCCTACAGTTTTCATTTAAAATTATTTATCTCGCTTCTATACGAACAATCCATGCTTGAGTAGTCAGCCAGTTGGTTTTAATTTTAGAAAATGGTATATTACAGTTTTCTGGAAAAAAAATAAAGATTTTAAAAATAAAACGACTTCAAAATAAGACTCCCTCATAGTCCAAGCTGAACAATGTTTGGAAATAATCAAAAACACTTTAAAAAAGTACTTTTAATTAAGTTGAAACAGACCTCTTCTCACATATTTATTATGTATATCATAAAATCACTTTTAAAATCATAATTTGGTTTTTACTACAAACATCTCATTAATCCAAGATGCGTTTTTGAAAAAAAATTCTTAATTCATAATATAAGTCACTTAAAGAATCATCCATTGTATTTTCAATTGTTGCACCTATCTTATTAGTGGTCGGATGAGATAATATTGAAAAAGAAGAAAGAGGGGAGCAGATAGATTTAAATAACGACAAAATTTGAAAAAAAATCATTTGAAAACAAATTTAACAAATTAATTGTTTTTCTTTTATTTTAATGAGGTAGTTAAAAATAACTTATATTTCAAGCGAAACGAGTATTTAAAATAAAGAGAGTATATTATTCCAGTATACTCATATGATCTTATTTATAAAATAGAAAGAAAATCTTTTTTTATAAGTCACATTAAATTTTTAAAGTGAACATATTATTTTACCTTTTCTTTATTGTTATGTAGATTTTTTTAAAGTATATAGATTGAAGTTGAAAAATCGTTAAGATAGAATTAACGAAATTTAAAAAATATTTTTAATTTTAATGAAACACGTTGAAACTAATTTATAAATAATATTGAAAAAGTAGGTGACGTATTGTTAAACTGTGGTAATTATTATAGAACAAACAAGACGGAAGTAAGTTGAGAGGAAGAGGAATGAAAAGAAAACAAGGAATTTAATTGGAGGGGAAGGGGGCACAAAGTTAATTAGATGTAAGAATGTGAAGAAACTTGGAAAGCAGATTAAAATCATTATTAATGAAAAGAAAATGTGAGGTACTAATCAGGCCATTCATTAATTCAATCATATTTGGTGGCAATCAAATCAGGTATATGTCATATAAATACGTTCACGCACTCGACTTCCATTCATTAATCAGCCGGATGTTTACTTGCCCCTGTGGTACGCTATATGTCCTCTCAACCACACCATGTCATGTCTATATTTGTAAAAAGACAAAAATGACTTCTTAAGAGTGACGAAGGAGAGCGATTATTATACCTATTCATGTATGAAATGGGTTCTGTTGGATGTCATTTTAGTACAAATTAAAAATAAATGGCAATGAGATCATCGCCGACTAATAATGCAACTTTAATAATTATTTTCTTCGGCCATAATAAATTCATTAAGCAGAATCTTCTTGCCCAATACATTAGTTGTTCGTCATGAAAATAAATAAAATTGTATCATTTGTCGCCTCAACTTATTAGTATTTCAATTATACACAACTAAACATATTTTCACACATATAATCATTGCATGTTTGGGCAGAAAAATATCATTATATGGATGTATGATAGTTGACGCTCCATTTTACTAATGTACAGCAGAGCCGTGAATAATGTGCATTCACTTTTTTTTTTACCTCGTATTAATGTTCCTTTTTTTTTTTTTCAACTTCATGTTAATGTATTGATATATATATATATATATATATTAGTAACTTTTTTTTGTAATCTTTTCTAATTCTCAAAGTTAAATCCCTCTCATTTAAATATAACAAGTCCGATTCTTAATATAAGATCCAATTAATTAATTTGAATAGAATAAATATATTATTTGAATTAATTAATATGATTTTTTTTTAAAACATCATAAGTATCTTTTTTAATTTTCTTTATTCTTTTCCCACTTAATTATTACTGAGAAAACATCAATAAGATTGATTTAAAATAACAATAAATATGTAAAATAAATCTTATATACTACCTCCGGTCCTAATTATAAGACCCAGTTGACTAATTTGAGGAGATTAAGGAAGTAAGTTAAGTTAATTATTTGTAACAAATAAGTGTTGTCATTCCTAAAATATCCTTGCTAATTAAGTGTGTTGGTTAGAACTATAATTATTAGAAGGACTATCTTGGGAAAAAATGCATAAATATGAGAGAAAAAATGGATTGGGATCTTATAATAAAATCAAACTAAAAGTCAAACGGAGTCTTATATTAAGGATAGGAGGTAGTATATATGAAACTAATGTTAACTTTCTAATTAACCCCCGAGCATATGGGTAATAAAACGCAGTAAAACTCAATTTCCAAAACTACCCCTGACCATCCATCAAAATCTCCTTTTCAAAATGAAGCCTGGACGCCATCTTCGGAGTGTCTCTTCTGAGTTCTGATCTCTCTCTGCAATGGAGAAGGGCGAGAGCTCCGCGTCCGAGCAAGAATCGGAAGGAAAGCACCCGACCCAACACCATCTCACACCGCCCCGTCGGGTTTGACCCACGACGAGTTCGAGCAGCTCAAGCACTTCGTGACGGAGCACCACACCTACTTGGTGGGCCCGAGGCAATGCTCCTCCTTACTCGCTCAGCGAATCAACGCTCCGATGGACACCGTGTGGTCCGTCGTCCGCCGTTTCGACAAGCCTCAGACCTACAAGCACTTCATCAAGAGCTGCGCCGTCCCGGAGGGTTTCCAAATGACGGTGGGGTGCACGAGGGAGGTGAATGTCATATCCGGTTTGCCGGCGGCCACCAGTACCGAGAGGCTGGATATACTGGACGAAGACCGGCACGTGACGGGTTTTACTATCACCGGAGGGGAACACCGGCTGAGGAATTACCGGTCAGTGACGACGGTGCACGGGTTCGAGAGTGACGGGAAGATCTGGACCGTGGTTTTGGAATCATACATCGTGGATGTGCCGGAGGGTAACACCGAGGAGGACGCTCGTCTGTTCGCAGATACCGTTGTGAAGTTGAATCTGCAGAAGCTTGCCTCCGTCACCGAAGCGATGACCCGTGACGGTGACGGTAAGTCGTAGTTGGGGTGAACCCAATTTGTTTTTTTTTCCCCCGTTTATTTTGGAAAAAAAAATAACACGAATTGAGGGTTGTAACCTCCTTAAAAAAAAAAAAAGCAAAAGGGAAAAGAATTTTTATGCGGAAGCTTTGTTGAAATTTTCTCTGGGGGTTTTAATTTTGGGTGAGCCTGTGAAGTTTAATTTTAATTTACATATATCAATATCACCAAGCTTCCTTTTGTTTTGGGTGGATTGACTGTAATGCCTGTGATTGATTGGGAGGAGTTTATGTCTTTGTTGGGGGGAGGGGACGAACAACGTTGAAAATTGTTGTTTTGGTTGCTACTCCAGGGTAAGGGCATTTCAGTCAATGCATTGTACAGGAAATGTTGACTTCTGGATGTTGATGTGTTTCAAGTTTAACGCCGTTTTTTGTTATTATTGTTTGCACCTTTAATTTATTTCCTCTTATTTGTTCTTCCCCCTTCTCTTGCTTTTTGTTTCCTAAATCACTTCAATCCTCCTTAGTCATGATTTACAAAAGATAATTCAGATAATTTGCAGTCTGAAAATAGGGCAGGAAATAAATCTAAACAAATAAATAATCCCGCCTTTTTTAAAATTGTAAAAACACAGATAGAGACCCTTAACAACTTCATTTTGGGTTTTGACAAGAATAATATGTCCTGGAGTTGTCAAAACCAAAGTGAAGTTGTTAAAAGTCTCTATCTGTGGTTTTACAATTCCAAGGTCTTTTTTTACAATTTTTCCTTTTTAATTATTTGAAAACCAAATAATAGTGCAATAAAATAAAAGGATGTTTAGATCTGCCTAAAAGTGCTTTTTAAGAATATTTTTTATAAATAGAGATAAACTTCTTCGCATATTTACTTCATATATTGTGAAATTATTTTTAAAAATTATAGTTTGAATTTCATCCAAACACCCCTTAAAAATAAACATGAAAAAAAACATGAATAATGTTAGTCAAACTATGTTCCATGTTCATTTTGCCTTTCCTTCCACGGGAAGAGTGTCCGCATATAGTATGAAACAAACATATATAGCATGTTCAACTAACATAACCGATTCGTCTTTTTAGTCTCCTCAGCATTAATAGGACGATCCTTAATCATGTTTATATATCACCAGACAAATGATTGTAACATGAGAAAAGAAAATAAATTATAGTAAGGGATATTTTTTCGTTGATTTGCATTGAAAATTATCCTGTCATAAAGATCCAATGAAAATACCATAACTTTGGGATAAAAATATTAAGGAATTATATTTAGAACCAATAATCACTAAACAGAAAGGAACAGTAACAAGTGCTATAATAAAGAAACCAAACAAGCGGAGAAAGGTACGGTGGTGCTTGATGAGAGGGATGAATATATATGGGGAAGCAGAACAAGAAAGGGAAATGGAATTTCTAGGGAAGCTCAAAGATGAAAAGGACGACATTAATTTGAGGCAACTTTGATCTGGGCTGGCTTGCTTAGCTAGCTTCCATTTCCAGCTTGAGGTTAAAACCACAATATGCCTTCACTTGGAGCTCAATGGGTCCCTCGTTGCTCAGAAACTGTGCCTCCAGAACTCAGGCATCTTCACCGTCCGTTCACAATCATAGGCCCCTCATGGTGTGGTCAGTGGTCATACGTAATTAAGGCCCCTTCTAGTTGGAGTCTATGTATGTGCGTCTATATATATATATATATATATATATATGTATGTATTATATTTGGGTGGGCCTTTTTAATAAAGCAAAATATATCCATTTATAGGGTATGCAAGGTTTCAAATTCCACGGCGCAGCATCTTTCCTTCAGTTTGTCGACATGGCAAAAGGAGGGCTTCTCAGGAAGAGGAGAGTGTGTTCTTTTTAGGGCCAAAGTTGTCACTGTTCATAGATACTGATACTGTCAACGTCTCCACGTCTGGGTTATTGAGTTTCCAGGTTGGACCTGGTGGTGCTTGTAAAAGAAGGTGGGAGCTAGTTAGTGTGTGTGACCATAAATATATATAATATATATATATATACACACACACACATATATGAAATTGGACATGTTAGATAATACTATATTATCATCTGATAGGACAATTTATGATGGATGGGACAGTGCCGCTTATCTAGATATTGAATTCCCTACTTCTATACTTAACAAACTCTTGACCTCTATATTTCTTTTTTATATTTCAGGTCAGACACTAATTAATACAATGATTATGTGACCAATTATTGTTTAGAATAGAATACCTTTTAAGTTTGTATGCTACACAGGCCTGAGTAGTTGGAGGGTAAACAAAATATGTTTGGATAAGAGTAGTAAAACTTTGGCTAGTTAGGTTAAGAGTTGAATTTTATTTAAAACTTACATTGTTGATTACGTTTACCTCTAATCATTGACAGCAACTTGATGCATTTTAAAATTACTCCTCTATGTTGAGGCATATGTGCTTAATCAATCAAATAATTAATTAAATAAGCGTTTTAGTTATAAAGCATCTCAAATATTCTCTTGTCAATCTTTTGAGCCCATATATATGAATACCTGGCAGCTGCTGTTTCTGATTTATTTACTGTCTGGAGTCAAACTATATGATATGTGTCTTGAGTTGGATGAACAGCTAAAATGCAAAATCTACAAACCAAAGTCCATGAACCTGAGAATCTTGTGTTGTTAGAAAAGGTTTTCTACCTGGTGGAAGAAACCTCAGAAATTTAATATATATTATAGTCGGCAAATTCGCAGTCTCTGTCTTGGACTGCCGAAGAAGAAGAAGATGATGATTGCAGAGATGGGACCACATACATATAAATTACATACATGTATAGTAATAATTACCCAAGAAATCTAATATATATATTTCAAGTGGGGACATACACACCCACACAAGAGTAGCAGTCATTATTGTTAGCTTCCCTTTTCTCTTGTGGGAAATGGTGTGGTTTGACAAAATGTTATCGGATAACACCCAAGTTGATATTTATATTATACAAGATGAAGATCATCATCTCAGCAGAAAAGCATGATGGAAAGGAGGAAAGGAACAGTGAAATTCCTTGGAAAAGTAGGGTGGAGATGACGAAGAATCCCGTAAGATCCGACGTGGAAGGAGGCCTTTTGAGGTGGAATGTGCATATATATATATGGAGAGTTGAGGGGGGATGGAGGATTTGATTGAAGCATTGAAATGAAAGAGAGCTTTGCTTTAAATGGAGGCCACAGATTGGGGAGAGCCAGAGGCACGTGAAGAGCAATAAGTCTGAGAAAGCGACTTGGAGGCCTTATTGGCTTTAGAAGATGGATGGGGATAATGCAAGTGGGCAAGTTGTGGGACTAATTAAAACTCTGTGTGTGTGTGTGTGGGTGTTGTGTGGTGTGTGTGTGTGTGTGTGGTTGTGTGTAGCACAAATTAAGAAAAGTGACGATGAGAGAAAATGAGAGGAATAATAGAATAGAAGCTACGAGGTCTACTTGATGATATATGTGAAAGACTCTTTAATTGCTCGATTTGAGGCACCCTTTTTTTTCTTAATTTCGGCTGTTTTATTATTATTGCATTGCCTCTCCTGCTTCTACTGGTGGCCACCACAACTACTACAATTAGTAACCTCTCTCTCTCTCTCTGCCTTTCAGTTTTAATTTTATTTATCCAAAATAGTTATTTATTAATGTGAAAAATAATAATAAGTCGCATTATCATTATTTATCATTTATGAATATTTGCTTTGTACGTTAGAGGTTAAAGTAAAACACACTGGTATCCCTCTAATTTAATGGATGGAAAGGGACAGTTGTATAATGTGGAAAGTACGCGTACCTCTACCTCGATCTACATGGGTTTGACAATTTGATAATGAATAATGGTCATGTTTCCGGAAAAAAAAAAAATAATTGAAGCTAAGACTACTCCCACTTATCTAGATGTTACATGTCTTCCAAAAAATTAGTGTTAGTTTATTCAATCTACAACGTGTTATGTGGAAATATTGATTCTTCTTTTTTAACCCTTTTAATTGTAATAGTGATCTTTCGAATCTTATCCTAGATGTTACATGTCTTCCAAAAAATTAGTGTTAGTTTATTCAATCTACAACGTGTTATGTGGAAATATTGATTTTCTTCTTTTTAAACCTTTTAATTGTAATAGTGATCTTTCGAATTGAGCCAAGGTTCTATGATATCTCTCACATAGAACAAGTGAATAACAACAATAATGATGAATATGAGTACTATCTATACTAATACTCCTCCGGTCCTTAATATAGGACCTAATTCTTGAGTTGATTTTGGTCCTAAATATAAGACCCATTTCTTATATTTATTAATTTTCTCTAAATTACCCCTATAGATATTCTCTCAACCATAATCAAGTAGAAAAGGGAGAGGGGGTATTAAGAAAGATGATTATGGTGTTTTAGAGTATATGAACTAGTTGACTAATTTAAATATATTAGAAAATTTAAGTTAGTTATTTGTAATAATTAGGTTTTGTCTTTCCTAGAATACTCTTACTAATCATGTGTATTATCTATAACTATCATTTAATGGGAAAACATGTGCAACTATTATAAGATTTACTTTAAAATGAGAGAGACAAAGTGAATTGAGGTTTTATTTTTAGGACCAATTAAAATTGAAACTAGTTTTTTTCTTACCAGAAAAAATTTAAACTAGTTATTATAGTAAAGATCGGAGCTGGTATATATATATTAATATATTAGGATATTTTAGGAAAATAAATAATATAAGGACTCTGTTTTAATTTACTTGAAAATGTCTCAAACTTCTTGTCTATAAAGAAAGAGAGGAGCGCATCAATTAAATGAAGTTTGATTCAAAATGTTGCTATAAATCGGGAAAAAAAATATTTTGATGTAAATATTCTCTTGTTCATAATCCTTTTAATTAGGTTGTTAAGTTTCATGGAACTAGCCTATAGACCATAAAGTGGCAGAGGTCGAAAGACTAACTGGCCAAAAAAAAAAAACCTGCTCTGATTAGTTATCGTCAATTTAACTTTGAAAATTTAATTACCTGGAAGATTAATCAAAACCTCTTGTACTATGTTTTGACGTTTTACCTAAGCAAGATTAACATTTTACAAGCTAACATAATGAAAATAATTAAAAATATGACTAAAATTTATTTAAAAAATAATATCTGTAATAAACATATTAAACAATGATTACAAATTAAAAATGTGTTATAAAACTTATAAAAATGGTTTCTTTTCTTAATCTCTAGTGAGATTAATTGGTACATGAACCGTCTTAAAAAATGAATATCATTTTGTTATTTCTTTATGTTTGAAGTTAGATACGTGTGTGTATCTTACTAATAACGAAAAATATGTACTACCTCCTGTACTTAATATAAGACCTTGTTTAACTTTTATTTTGTTCTTAAATATAAGACCCCAATTAACTTTATCTCTAATATTTATGTATTTTTTTAAGATAGTTCTTCTAATAATGGTATTTTTATCCAATACACTTGATTAGTAATGATATTTTAGGAAAAACAACACATATTCATTATAAATAACTAACTTAACTTATTTTTTAATCTCTTCAAATTAGTCAACTAGCTCTTATAATTAGAACCGGTGAAGTGGTAATTTAAGTGAAGTTGAAGAAAAAAATTATATAATATACTACATATAATCGGTGGATGAACTAGGAAGAAGTCCACGTATTGGTCATTTTCGGTAATTGGTGGATGGGCTAACACGGCAAAATTTGAATTTTATTTGCACGCACACACGTGAATATAGTAATTGTAGCTAGCCAGCCAGCCTATCACATGCATTAAACCTAAACCTCTCTTTCAACATGCCCATTGTTGGGTAATAGCCTAATACTAAATTATTGCTATCTATAGTGTCATAAATAAATAATACTCCTCCGTCCTAATTATAAGACCCAATTGACTTATTTGAGGAGATTAAGGAAGTAAGTTAATTGGTTATTTATAATAAATAAGTGTTGTTATTCCTAAAATATCCTTGCTAATTAAGTATATTGGCTAAACTATCATTATTAGAAGGATTATCTTGGAAAAAATGCATAAATATAAGAGAGAAAATGGATTGGGTCTTATAATTAGGACCAAATAAAAAGTCAAATTGGGTCTTATAATAAGGACCGGAGGAGTATTTTTAAATTTAGAAATTTTTAAATAAAAATGTAATAAGTATAAATATTAAATCTACTTTTTAACATACATGTGTGTGTGAGAACACCGAACACCAATTTGTATGTTTACTAGTTACTTGCAGTCATGGCCAATGTGTCCTACATACCAAAACAAAGTTCACTCTTTTGATTCAGTTTTATTTTTAACATTTTCAACATATGTACATTAATTGTTGTTCCATATAAATGTTAGCTAGGGAGATTTTTGTGTGTTGAATGAAATTTAATAAATAAAACATATTATTTTATAATTTGTGAGTAATATTTATCATTTTTCATCATAGAGTTGAGGTCATAGATATTTGAAATAAGTGGAGCAGAGAAGTTAGACCGGTAATTACAATGATTGCAATCTAGATAGTGACCGGAAAATTTTCTGTCTTAATCATTCATAATATCAAGAGTAAGAGGTCCATAAAAATTGTAAGATATTATTCATTCTTGTAAAAGATATATAATAAAAAATAATAATTTTTTAAATGTGAAATGTTTATTACATCTTTGGATAATTGTTGAGGGTTTTTGACCCAAAAAAAAAAAAAATAATTGTTGAGGGTTTTGATTTTGCATTCTTATGCATGAATGAAACAAATCCAATCAGGAAGGATCTTTGTTTCGCTTTTGTATGAGAAATTAGTTTTTTACTGTTAGCCTATAGGAAAAAATATTTATTATAAAAACATAGCATATGTGTATATTTCATGGAAAAAATTTAGAAGGAAAAAACAGAGGATATTTGCCTTCTTCCTCTCATGTTTGATATTTAAAAAAAAAAAAAAGAAAGAAAGAAAGAAGAGAATCTCATAAGAAGAAGCTTAAAATCACTAAATTCTAAATAAGAAATTTTTATAAAAATGTGTTGTCTGTTATTTGCAAAGTCAATATTGTCAAAACCTATATTGAAGTGTTGAAACCAAACTTAATTTAGGATTTACTAATTTCAAATTTTTTGTGAAATTCTCCCCATTAAAAAAACGATAAAAGGAAATTGCCAATAATAAATTATCCTAGTGACAGCATAGCTTATCATATTTAAATAAAGTCTTGTGTTCCACTTTGACATTGGTATGTATGTATGTGTGTGTATTTGTGTTTAATTGTATAAATAAATAAAAATATAAAGAAATATATAGTTTTTGTATAAAAATAAAAAGACTAAAATGGCCTCAGCCATTTTTCTACCACCTTCCCCCTTCGTTGGCCTGCTCTAGGCTGTAGTCCTCTTTCCCCACCGACCACGGCAAAACCAAAATTTAAATCCGAATTTTCATAATAAATGTCAATTTCCACAGTCAAAATCAAGCAAGATTTACATAATTCGAATTGAAATTTAAACCGAGAATCAAAACAAATTGAACTGAGACAGAAGGAGCAACTAAAAGCAAATCGTCATATACTGTCACAGCTCGCGTAGAAGCAGCACATGACAAACACAAACATAAGGATTACGAGTGGGTATGACATAATTATAAGCTTGTTAAAAACTTAATTAGGGTATGACATAATTATAAGGTCTTTTAATCCTTTTGAAACCATATGTCTCCACCATAATAGAGCATCATAAGGTCTTTTAATCCTATTAATACCATATTTAGTAGTCAAAACTTGATTTTATTTTAGTTTTGATATCTGAAATTTGAAACCAGTGGGCTTGGTCCTTAAAATCTTGTTTTAGGGGCCAAAAACACTGTTTCAGAGACAAAAAAATGTTTATACATATTAAAATGAGATCAAACTTCAAGGATTAAAATTAAAATAAGGTCAAATTTTAATAACTATATTTCATAGACTTGTGTCAGACCTCAAACCTAGATTATCACATAAACGCCTGATATTCCCCCCCCCCCCAACCCCCAAAAAAACCCAACCTTGAAGTGTATCTTTCCTGCAACTGAAAACGAGGTTTCAGTGAGTAAATTCTACCATGTCTTCAAATACAATAACAAGTAAAACAACCAAGATAAGAAAATCCAAGCTAACCCCTGCCAGCCTATGCAAGCACAAATCACAAATTGATAGATTGCAGCAACGATATACGACATATACTATTGGTAAAGCTTTCTCCTGAGTGTAATATATCATCAATATTAAACATCAAATGCTATTTAGGTAATAGGTTTGTTAGTTGATGACTCATCTCTTGCTTCCCTGATATGATCACGATTACATTTTTGTTTCTTGACCTCATCCAAGATTACAAATTGAATCACCCTCTGCCCCAGTCACAGATAATTTCCAATCTAATTTGTAGACTCTTAATGATATCTCCTTATGCATACCCATTTTTTGAGTTCAGAAAAAACAGATGAAGTACTTCAGGAAGTAGGCAGACTATGGAGATTCTGGGCCATGCCATGAAAGTGGTGGCCACTGGGATTCACAGGACGACTGGGTTGAAGGAGTGAGACCAGAGAGAGCAAATAAAGTTGAGGGCCACAGAGCACGGTGCTGTGTGGTCTGGCCATGACAGATCCTACTAGGCTTCATGATACTGCTGTATCCTGTACACTTGCTTTGCAAAGTTAAGACCAATTAAAAGAATCCCAACTTCTTGTTCTTGATAAGACCTCTGATCTAATTGCCCTTGCTTGTAGTGCGTGTGTTAGTTCTTTTCATATGGCTTGCTCTCTAATCCGCAAAACCATTCACATTAAGGCGAACCTATCCTGTCTGAGGAAGCAGAAGCACACTCCTCGGAGGCTGTGTATTTGCTCTCCCTACATCGCCAGAGGGAAAAAAATATTATGCAAAGAATTCTTCACTGACCTTTGATCTTTGGGCTTAGCCATGTTTAGCCGTCTTGTATGCAATCGTGGAGAGGAAAATGTAAAGAGCTTGAGTAGGTTCGAACTCACGACCTTTTGGATGTCAAAAGTTGAAAAGTTGAACAACACACTTAGCACCTAGCCGCACCAACCCATGGACAGAATGAGTCCCGCCCTCCAAAAAAATATATATATCCAGCTAAATTGGCCTTCCTTTTTCGGCTCCCGTCTTCGCGTCTACTTTCTCAAGTCTCGTTGTCTGTTTTCACCAACCCATATGAATAACTTCTCTCAGTTGGCGTGTAAAAGCTTCGTGTCACTCTGGGTATGTAAGAATCTCAAAGACCAAGTACAGATCTGCGTTCAGAAGGTAATGCGGCAGCTTTGTGCTTTCTTTCTTCACTTGCACCTATGGTTTCAAATTCATCTCAGTTTACCTTGAAATCTGTGTTCATATCCTGGGTTGTCTTTCTCTGATTACCGGACGGGAAATCCCCCGACCGAAAGTGTTCTCTTTCCGGTTTCTGCGGTTTTAGTGCAAACTTTTTGGTCCTGTTCTCTCGAACTATACATGCTTCTTGTCTGGGAAGTTCCTTTTTTTGTTTTATTTTCATTCCCGGATTTGCTGCTGCTTTCTCTTCTAAAGGCATTGTGCTGCGGCCTTTTAGTTTAGCAATTGATTCAAGTGGCCTTAAATTAGATGAATTATATGGAGTTGGAGCTGGCTGATTGCATATCTTTTTGTTGTAATGCCTTTGAATTAGTGGGGCGGGGATACGAGGTGGTGATGACTTTCTCATATTACTGATGCTTTCACATGCTACACCCACATCATAATGTATGCGTTTTTTAGGATCACTTGATAACCATGGCTTCAAATACTCATCTTAGATGATGTTAATTGTTGTCTTTGTCATGAAATATGGTGTTGACTAATATTAATCCCTATTTAATCGGAGGGATCACTGAACCACTGGATACAAATAGTGCCGTATCGATCGCATCAATGCCCAATTAAGGCATGATTGCATGAACTATCCTGAAGGCAACTTTAGAAGCACTTCCAGACAAGTAATGCCACTCTACTTGAAATTATAGTTTGCTTACTAGTTTATGATCTTCTTCTATAAGTTGTATGTCCTAATTTAGATCTGGTTATGTTGACATAAGATTGATAAATAAAGGAGGTTTCGCTTATTTGTATTGTTGGATGATCAAGAATAATGAGGGAGAGAAAGATACTGGAGGTTGATTAGTTAAACAATACTCCCTCTGCATCCTAAATCCTAAACATAAGACTCATTTTGTAGTGTAATTTACACTACAAATGGGTCTTACTTTTAGGACTTGTATAACTGAGTTGTCTGAAAAATGGATTAGAATTAAGGAATTAGAATAAAAGGAGATTGAGAGATTTGATGGGAATATTCTGGGATTCGCAATATCGCTTGCCTTGACTACTAGTACGCTTAAATTCTTTAGGGGTCAAAATTGAGCATCTTGATCCGTGCAATAGAGATGAATTTTACATTAGCAATCAAGAGCCTAATACAATCCTTCTCCTTTATCCAGGCTTGGACTAGCTAGTCTCGATGGAGCATCTTGTTCTTGACAATTTTTGCCTTCTCTCTATGTGTGTTCACACTAGCACGCGCATGATGCGCTTTTGTTGATAGGACTAGTAGCAATTATTTTTAATCATGTCAACAGCAATGCCTCCAGAAAAGTGAGTGGCTTGAGTACCTGTGGGATAAAGTTGAATAGGCCACTGAAGAGCTGTGGATTGAAGAGCTTGAGAAGCCTTCTTATTGAGTTTAACAGAGCAGCCAAGAGAAGGCCAACAAGTATTTAACAGATTAAAGACAACAGAGAGCTGTATCAAAAAGAGAAAAAAGACTCTAGAGAGCTGTCCATAGGAGAAGAACCTGAGGAATGTTAACGAGGTTGCTGCCATGTAAGAGTTCTAGAAGCTGTCATGCTCTAAGGGTTTACTAGTAGCCCGGATTGTTGCAATGTTTCACCGACCTTCCTTTTTGAGCTGTGGAACAATGTTTTCTAGATGAGCAAATGAAAAATCCATGCTTCATTTTATGGGAGAGAGTTGGATAACCAAATTCAAGAATAATTGATTGAATTGATTTAAAGAAAAAAAGTAATTAACAAGAGAAAGAGGCAGAGGAGTGTTGACTGCTCAGCAAATATGATTGAGTGAGTTATCAATGAACTAATCAGGAGTGCATGAGAATGAGACTGAGTAATGAGAAATTTGCTGTATCATGGCCCTTGCTGGCCAGATCCACTAGTATAAATGAGATGTTTAGGGGCTAAGGTTGAAATCGTTACAGTTTTCAACTTAATCTCATCTCCTTTCTCCCTTTTGCTGAAACCAGCATTTCTTCTTTAATAAGTTGCATTTTTTCTTTGTTTCTTTATATTTAAACTCCTCTGAAAAGCGGAATTTCAAGGGTTGTCATTCTAAAGTCATTTTGTTTCACTTGACGATTTTGAAGGGAAGCTTGTGTCATGGAAAGATTTTTTTTTTTTTTTTAAGGATATTAAATGCTTTATGTTGATGGGGTTAGTTTTAGTTTGATTTGTGTTATATTATCTCATCATTGCAGATGGTGACATCTTTTGTTATGCTTAATTCTTCAAATACCGCGTTTTTCTCTTAAATGTCATGTTCAGACAATTATCAGGTCCAAAGAAATTTATTAGTCATCTCTACCTCTTTTGGCTCTAATAACATATGTTTCCATTTTTTTTCTTTCTTTGTTTTCCGGGAATTTTTTTTTTTATTTAGTGAGTTCCCAATGAAGCGGAGGCACTGATTGGATCCCAAAAACTTTTTCACTATCCACTGCAGAATGCTGCTCTTTAGGGCATTTAGTTGCTACAATGTCCTTTGTTCATTGGCTAGGATACTATGTGATAAGCTAGGATGGAGAGGTTACTAAATGAGAGTATGACATATCTGCATAGAGTGGAATGCATATAAAACGATTGTGTAATATCTCATTTCACTTGATGTCTGCAGATGCTAAGATGCTAATCCCATGCTGAAAATGGAAAACAAGCAAACTGTGAGTGCTGGTGGAACACAAGATAAGTCTATGATGAAGCCTATTGACCAAAGAGCCCATATTAAAGGCCGAAGTGACATCCTGACTCGACGCCTAAAGAATCGAGAGCGTCAACGTAGATACAGAGCCCGTAAGCGTCTTGAAGCTGAAACCAAGAAGTCTTCTGTGGCAAGAGACATCACACCCATAACACCACAAGAGGAACCACAATCAACAGGCAATCACAATCTTATGACCCGCGTATATTGTAATAGAGATTGGAAAAAAGATGCAAGACGGGCTCACGCTCTTAAACGTGAAGAAGTGACACCTAATGGATCTATTGATCATATTACCAAACTAGCCAGTGAACCTGAAGCAGCACGCTTAGCCTCTGGGAAGGCAGACATGACGCAGGAAAGGGAAAGCCAGTCTGGATCTCCTGTTGTTGTTAACAATGAAACTCCTAGAACTGTACTGAGTCGAAGAGACTGGAAAGCAGAAGCTAGAAAAAAGAAAAACTAGTATTATTCCCTTTTTCTCTAAAAAGATTCACTCTGCGCAGTGGTCTTTTGTTGTATAATAGACATTATATGATGTAAAAGAATGCTGCATTAAGATATGTTAAATACCTGAATTTTACTGAGGTTCATACGAGGAAGTTATTGTGTAATTTGCGAATTTTTTCTGTTGCAGATGTAGAAGACCATTGTAAGACACGCCTAGCTTAGTTTAGAATCTCTGATCTTTTTGTAGCAAGAACTATATCGGAAGATCATCTTCGCAGAATGTTGTGGTGAAACGTTCATTAGACTGCCCTCTGTGTTAAACAAGATAAGGTTTGAAGTTTGCCTTAACTATTGCAAGTAATCATCAGGTCATCGAGAAACAAAAGAAACCACTTACCTGTGTCTGCCATTTATCTGTTTCCTCCCTGCGTAAACACCCTACTTGCCCTCTAAACAACGACATGACATGTGATGTCATTTGCGTCCATTCATTTGTATTGCCTTAATTACGCCACTCTCATGAATGATTTTTAGTTTTTTTACACATATAATGCAGTTTACGTTGCAAAAAGCTTAAAAAGTCCACGTAATACGGAAATTGCGTTCATAAGCGGAGGCTGCATACGCGAGAAAGTTAAGGGATATGTATTATATTGCAAATTAAGGCGTAAAAAAAGCAGCTTGATGAGTTTGTATCAAGCGCTTGAAACACCGATTTACAATGCACAAACCATCCCACCCCTTTGAATATGCACGTTTTGAGTCATCTCATTCTCCCGTCAGCATCGATGTATCAATGAATCAAAATATATAAATGAATGAAATGGCTGAAGAAGAAGAAAGGTATGAATCATTCTGAATGCTTTGACAGATGATTAATCAATTTAGGGGCACATGAACCCCTCCTCATTCTTTCCTGCCAAATCTTCAAAACTCCAGTCTCTTCTCATCCCAGGGCTCCTCACCAGCCTCGGCTCGACGCTGCCCGGAAAAGCAGCAGACCCTGTACTGTGAGCACGGCGATGTTCTCTCTTGATCTTCACCAAAGGTTCTTGTCTTCGATCTTGATCTTCCAGAGCAATATTCCCCGACCATGTTCTCTCCACCGGCGTACAACGCACTTTCCTAAGGCCGGGCTTTTCCGAGGAATACTCCCTAAAAGAATCTGTCTTCTGAAGAACCTGGCTGCAGGTAAGACAGCTTAGACTCATTGTTTTGCTTGCGTTCCAAGCAACAAAATTAAGCTCTTCTTTCTGGGCTGGTGAATATGGGAGGATTGAAGGGAGATGGTGGGTGATGAATGAAGTGGGGTTGTGAAACGTGGATTATATATAAGCTACATTGAGGGGATGACGTATGAGAAGATGAATGAATGCAACTGATATTCGTTAAGGCAAGAACAATAGGTTGCTATATTTGGTTCTTATCCGTAATTTCTGATATGGTTTTGATATTGTATAGTCATATCTTGTCATTTTTGGGGTCAAACTATTTTGCATTCTGGAATAATAAAGATGATGCAATTTACAGTTTTGAGATGGATTTGAAATCACTGTCTTAACGGCCAAATTTTGACACCCTTTGATGTAAATTTTACATGGCTGCGTCATTAAGTATTGTTAGGTATTTGGTCGTGCGCTTGAACTAACTAAATATAGATCATCTGCATTCTCACCAAACAGAATGTTAAAATTTTTAATTCTGCATTTGAATTGTAGTGACAACTAATAATTGATCACCGGGGGGTTGCAAAATCATGCTCTTTTGGGGCAGAAAAGTAGGATATTTGAACATGGATATTTTATCTAAAGTATAAATTTCGAAATCTGATATAGTTATGAGGAGAATTTTCCTGTCAAAAAAAATTCCTAATATGTGAATTTTTAAGCTATGATCATAAATTTCGTAACAAAAAAACATATCGTTTCTAATATGTGAATTTTTAAGTAATGATAATACTTTTGTACAGTACAACTAGAAATCTAGAATGTGATTTTAATTTAATACTCCATTCGATTCTAAATATAAGACCCATTTTGTAGTGTAAATTACGCTGCAAAATAGATCTTATATTTAGGACCGGAGGAGTAGTATATTTATAATACTACATCCGATACTTAATATAAGATCCAATGAACTAATTTGGAGAGAATAAGAAAGTTATTTAATTACTTAATTATAACATTTTTACATGGTCTCTATCAATTTATCAATAAACAAAAAACGGACCAGACATTAAACCGATTAAGGTAGTAGTTCAAGAGTTAGTGGGTAAAACCAAGGTCCAACTAGGATCAAACTGGTCATATTAAAATAATATAATCTAATTAAAAATAACAAAATACAATAACTATAATAATCACTAATAACAAAATACAAGAAAATACAATAATAGTTTGATTATAACAATAACAAAGTATAACAGTATTGAAAATTTTAATCTTTATAATTCCTTAATAACTAAAATTAATAATTATTGATACCAAATTCATCATTAAAATTCATTCAAATCCATAATGACTAAGATATCAGGAGCTAAATGAAAAAAAATAAGATCAATAGTAATATAATTATCCAAACTGGCTCATCACAAGTTCATACTGATTTTTACCACCGGTTCACTCCTAGTTTGACTGGTTTGCCACCGGTTCAATTTGTGACCAGTTTGGTGCTTGAACCAAATCGAACCACTAACCAGTTGACCAGTTTTTCGGTTACACTAGCTGGTTCGTTCCAGTTTTTTATCCATTGCAATTTATAAGTGAGGTAAATTAGTTTTAAAAAAATAATAAATATAAATACTTTAAATTTTAAAGTAATTTCTTTAAATTAGTCAACCGAGTCTTGTATTAAAGACCGAAAGTAATAGCATTTATTGTTCAACTAATATAATTTTTTTTTAATTGCGCACTAACTTTCTTTAATTAGAACACACAGCATTACATAACTGTGTGTGTCATTGAGCGTAATAGTAAATAATTAAATACTATTGATATGGCCTCAGACTAATTGATAGTGATACCATGTGGCAGTTACTCCTTATTTCATAGGCATCAATATGACTTGCGGGGTATTTGGAATACCCCATAATTACTTTTCAGAAGTACTTTTCTGCAAATCGAGATAAATTCCTCCACATATTTATTTCGTATACTGTAAAAATATTTTTGAAACTATGATTTTGTTCTTACCCAAACACCTCCTTAGTAATGTGCTTTTGAACTCTGATTTTACATATAAATGATATATATATATACACACACGTGCACAAACTAAAAGGGGGATATTTATAGTCTTTGTAAAAAGGATTTTCGGTTCAATATGAAATTTTGAGTTCGAGTCTATGTAAATTAAAAATATATATATTTTTGAGAGAGCTGCCCCTGGTAATACTCAAATATGACCTGGTCAAATACTTATATCAAAGATTAATTGATGACAACTCACGAAAAAAAAAAAGTTTCATAGCGTATATCAACACTTTGGTGTTTAATCCAGCACCTTATTGCATTATATTTCTTTTTTATCATCTTATTATTCTACTATTTACTTTATTTCTGTTAGTCTCTTTATTTTTCTCAATACTTTAATTTCTGCTTCTGTCATTTTATTATTGTGACCCCCTAATTTTGTATGCTTTATTTTTTTAAGTATCATTTTGCCTTTTCATAAAATTTATAAATAAAAAGAAGAAGCAAAAGAAGAAAGCAGTGTCGTAAAATGGTCAAAGTCGCTATGGTTGGAGCTATAGCTGGCTATCCGGCTAGGCTACCGGGTTGTCCAAGTAAGACCCTTTTTTCCCGTCATGGGGTCAAGCTTTGAAAAATGGGTTATATGAGCATAAAAGGACTTTAGAGCCCATCCCTAATTAGGGGTGAGCAAAACCGAACCGAATTTAATTTCAGTTTTTCGATTCAGTTATTTCGGCTTTTGGTTATATATTCGGTTTTTATTTTTGTAATAATTCGGTTTCGGAATTTAGTTCGGTTAGTTAAAAAAAAAATTTGGTTCTAACCAAAAAACCGAAATAAATATATTATATATTTGTATCTAATAAATATTATTATAATAAATATATATGTAGATTTATGTGAACTCTTTAAATATATTTACATTCAATAAATATGGTTATAATAAATATTATTATAATAAATCACATTAAATGATGAAATATTTAATAATTAATGGTTGTAATTGTGTTTTATTATTATTATTAATTTAAAATCACTTCCATATTTATATATTTCGGTTAATCGGTTAACCAAACCGAAATATTTCGATCAATTCAGTTTTAGTTAGTTCAGTTATCGGTTTCGGTTTGGTGTTTAAAATTTGTTATATTCGGTTATTCGGTTAATTCGGTACCAATAACCAAACCGAAAAACTAAATACTTACCTCTATCCCTAATAAGCCTGTAAAAGACCGCAAGGAAGGAGAGCAAGGAAAACAAGGAATTTTTTTTTAGTAGTTATCCATTATATTTTAAAAAATTTTATTACACTAAAAAAAATGAAACTTAACTTCTTTACCATATCCGATTGGAAGAATTAAAATGTAAATATCTATCTCCCAAGGTACCCAACTGCCGTTGCAATCTTCCTTAAATTAAATATTGTTGCATATTTAATATAAAAGTTAGTTAGTATGGGTTAGAAGGGATTTATTATTCTTCCGATCCTTAATATAAGACCCATTTAACTAATTTGATTAGATTAAGGAAGTTAGATAAGTTAGTTAATTATAAGAAAAGTGACACATTTTTTTCTAAAATATCATAATCATCTTTCTTAATACCCCATATTCCTCTTCTACTTGATTATGGTTGAGAGAGTATTTATAGGGGTAATTTAGAAAAAGTTAATAAATATGATAAATGAGTTTTATATTTAGGATCAAAACAAACTCAAGAATTGGGTTTTATATTAAAGACCAAAGGAATATATAATTATATCCATGATGACTTCAGGGCCCTCACATGTACAAATATTATTGGATGTGGGGTTCTGGCTATTTGTTATTAATGTAAAAAAAGTGTGTTTAGCGTGCATAATACTTTAGGCATTGTTAAAGAAAATGGGTTTAATTAATTAAAGTGCTACTTTTGGTGGCATCTCTCCTTCGTTCATTTTTCTTTAATTTAGGTCTAAATCATTCTCCAACTTCTCTTTAGCAACCTAGTCATTGACTAAACACTCGATCCACCCAATATTCCCAAAAAAAAAAAAAATGGGGCACAGAGCAAATTGTTTATGTTGGTTTTTCTCCAAAAAGAAAAATATTCCTGTCGGAATCATTCAATGTAAGCAACCAAACCGTGGAAATCTTAAATAATCATTTAAAAACTAAA